AGATTTGCCTTCTGAAGCAAACAAAGTGTAAATAGTAGCCCCCGTTACATTCTCTTCATTATTTTTTCCCACCGGGGCATGTAAGGATACAAGTTTATTATTGTATCCTGCCAAGTCAATTCATAGTGATGGTGACCATTTTCAGGGTTTTCTTGGTATAGGGTACTCAGAAGTGGTCTACCATCCCCTTATTTTGCAGATGTCCTGGACCGGGTAGCTTGCCCAAGGCTACACAGGCTGGCTAGTGTTTTTTTAAAAGAATCTTCCAGTATGCCTAATGGGCAGAGACTACCACACACATAATCCCTTGCGACTCCCACAGAATTTAGCCCTGCCCACCCTGCCTTTTCTTCACCACAGGACACAAAAGACTGCCACAGTCTGGATTCGTTAGAATATGATCTTGAAAATACCCATCAGCCCCTAGAAGTCTGGCGGGGGGGAGGAGAATTCCTGCAGATTTCTGGGTGCTGTAGTCCATGAATACAAAATAGTCCATGCATGCCAGACAGCATTTTTCTTCTAAGTAGTTCAATCATTTTGATGAAGCAAATGAACAGATACTGTTTTTATTTTATTCTATACATTGCAACATTTAAGCCTATCAACAAAATGTTCATTTTAAACCTATTTTTACAAAGGAGTCACAACGCAACGATAATCTTCCACTGATTAAATTAGTAGCTTATTATAACTGATATGCTATAATGTTTTCAGCAGCTTTTACCAGGCTACAGTTTAAAGTGTGGAGGTTTCACTTCTAATAGACCATTTTTGTACCAATGCTAATTCAGCATTTATGCGTATAAATGCCCATTTCATGCACTCAAATGTCAACCTGAAGGTCTAACAGAGGAATTCTCACACTTTTTAAAAAGCTCATACTTGAAAGGCAGGCACTTAGCAACCAGTCTCCCCTCTTGTCTTCTCGTTTTGACAAACACTTGGAGGCCAAAGTTAGAGCAGCTTGTTACACCAGAACATACGCTACCTTGTTATTCCTTCTGGAAAGGTTTATTTTGAACGAAATAATGGTTCTCTGAAGTGAAGCATGCGTCATTCTCGCCACAACTGATTCCCCTTAGATTGGCACTGAACAAGTATTAAAACAGCAGTAAAGGGTGTGCCATGTGCTAGTTCAATCTATAACCAAATGTCATCATAAATACAGAACTGCAAAAGTGACAGGATGGGTTGTAATTTGCAAGCCAGTAATAGCTGGGTGGTGGACGAGAATAAATTCAGTATGTGGGGATGAGTAGTACTGAATGTCCTTTCGTTTATACTGAGCACTGCATATCTTCTAGGGAAGCCTGAATTAATTAAATAGTGGCCCCCGACATTGGTGTATTCTGTGAAGGTTGGTGTTGCTAAGCGGATAGCTGGCTATGTTGCCATGCATGCATAATGGGCAATGCTCACGATGTCTGAGTGCAGCCAAGTACTTAATGAGCTACATGCTACAATGCATTACATGGTTTAAGCTCTAGTAAAGCACTAGCAGGAAAGGGTCAGAAGTGCAGAGCTCAAGGGCTGGCACATACAATGGCTGTATTTACACCCCAGCAAGGAACTAATAATCACTCAGCAAGGGCAAGACAATCAACAAGGAAATGAAGTAGAATCTGAAATGCTAACAGCAAAGTAAAGAAGTTTGTCTGAAGGGATAATCTTGGGAATCTTAGACTGAGTTGTTGATCACTGTTGCTTTTAAATCCCATAAAATATGTGTCAGGCCCTACTCTACTTGCCAGGTTTGGGAACTTCAGCCATCAGGAAGCTTGTTCGTACGTTCAGATGTTTACAGTGTGGCTGCTCACAAACCAGCTATAAGTTGTGTTTTGCGAAAATGTCAGCTCAATGCATAAGCCAGAAACTATTTATTAACCCACATGCCCTGGAATATGAATTCTAGGAAGCATTAGGGCTCTTATGAATTCAATTATATTGCTAGCTGCTTTGGGTCCCAAAAATCAAATAAATGCATCTTGAAACATAAAAAATCTGACCTTGTGGTACAGAATGAACTTAGCAGCAAAGAGAAAAAGACAAGAGATGTAAAGGCCAGAAAGAGGGGCAGAGGCCAAGAAATCAGAAATGCCTCCCTCAACTGGGGGAAGATACTTTTCCCATGTTTGTGTGTTGAATATTTGAAGAAAAATGGGAAAACCTCATATGCAGTATTTTCAGAATGAACTTAAAATACTGCTACAATACAGTTACAGCATATGGATTTCAAGATCCAAAGAGAATTATGGTAGCAGTGACTTTACAGAAATTTTTAAAAAGCAACTTTAAACCTTTCCTGTTTCCTGAAAATTATCTATAGTAATCATGTTCATTTTCAAAAATCTGAAAGCTATAAGCCACTGGCCTCTGGTTTAAAATATTTTCCTCCTATCTACCTCATTGCCATTACTTCCATATCAGGGCCAGAGGTACAGTGCAAATCAGCCCCTGAACTATGTGATAGTCTTCCACTGTTTAGGAAGGGCACACACGCCATGCTGATCTCTGGTGACAAAAGCTAGTTTGAACAAATTTAAAACCACATCACCAGAGAACAGTAACTCCTGCATGCATTACTTGAAAGGGAAAGGAGTAACGGATGGGTGATGGGAAGTGATCCCATATGTTTTTGACTACAACATCCTTTATCTTTGGTAGTACAATGATAAAAATTGTAAGTTCTTTGATTATATATTTTTCTGTTTTTATCTATGTAAATTGTGTATATTTTAAATTGCTTGCTATTTGTATGTTGTGAGCCGCCCAGAGTAGACCATGTCTAGATGGGCGGCATATAAATGCAATAAATAAATACAGCTGGAAATTAGAGATGGCGAGTCGTTCTGTTTTGTGAGTTATCCAAAGTTGACCTGATGAAGTGACAAATAACAAATATATTCATCGATTCATGGGGGAGTTATTTAAGAACAACACACACCTTACCGTAATGGTCGCCATCACTGCCAAGGTCTCCATCAGGCCTCCACAGCCACGCTGTGTAAAAAGGGAAATTGGCTGCCAACACCCCCTTAGCCTGCCTTAAGGGAATCCAGGCTGCCCTTTGCAAAGATGGCAGCTGCAGCTTCCCTACCCTAAATGAAGCCAAGCTGCTATCTTTCAAAAGGGCAGCCAGTTGAGGGGGCTAAGGTAGGGAGAGGAAAGGGGTGGGTGGCTGCCTATCAGTTGATCAGCGGCCAGTAGGCAGAATGTTTTTTTTTTATTACGAAGGGAAGAATAAAATGGGGAAATATTCATCCCTTCATATTTGTGGGGGTCTCTGGAACCCATGAATATGAAGGGACAAATATTTAATGGATCAGTGATTTTCCACGAATATTGCAATCCATTTTAAAAATTCACCCTCATGTCTACTAGAGATTATGGGAACTGTTGTAAAGTATCTGGAATGCCAAAGGTTCACCACTCCTTGTCTAAGGCCTAAACAGCTTGAGACCAGGATGTTTAAAACTGTGCTTCCTTCTTTATCACCCAAGGTAACTGGAAAAGATGCTCCATTCTGATGGTCCCAAAGATGTCTGAGGGCCATCCAGTAATCACTCAAGTAGAGTTTTCACTGTGGGCATGTCTGCACTGGCAGAATACCTTGCTATTTGGATCGCTTTTCATGCCGTTTTGCTTACAGTATCCATGCATTTTATGTCCCACTCCTTTTTGGCACAGCCGTAGGGCTACAGGTTTTGTTTTTTTGCATAATACAGACTGCTCCTAATTCGCCCATGCAGATGGTTAACCCGCAGCAAAAGGCAGCTGTGGTCAATGCTATCTGCGGTGACAACCTAAGATGTATCCGGTGGGTTGTAGTATTGAAAGGGATGACAGAAGACGCCCCTCCTCTATTATAATCTAATCTACTGTTTTAAATTTTTTAATATATTTTCCTATTGATACAGTACTCTTCTAGATAAACAAGATACATTGGTGGTATTATGTGTACCATGCTAGGTAGATGCATTGCTGTTTCACTATGTCACTTGCTTTATGTAACAACAAAAGGGAAAGTGATGAAGCCTACTGTATGACAGCCATGGGGAAAGGCAGTGAAGAGGACAGGAACGGGAATGCCATGAATTGAAAGGGAGGTTGGGATGATACAAAGAGTCTGCCTGGACCCTACTAATGCGGGAAAAATGTTCAGTGTGCAGGGAAGGTTCACTGAAATGAGAGACAGAATAGACCACTAAAGATAAGAACCTTTAAGCATAAACCAGACCACTCCAACTTCCCGTCTGGACATGATGTCCTGTATTAGGTCTTACCCTGTGGAACTGCCTGCCTGTTATGCATACACCAAAATTGTTTGCTTTCATGTCTGCTAATAAAGCCTTCACTGACAGAGTCAGCAATTAGTGTTGCTGATCTTATTGTTTGATATTTTAAATATTTTTTTCTATTTTGGAGGGGTTTTTTTTGTTGTTCACCATATATTCCTGAATCAAATGTCTCAGATGTAGAACTGTTTAAAGGGGCAGCCCAAGTGCTCTCATTTATGAGGTGGGAAGTGCTTCACCATACTATGGAGAAAGAAGGGGCTCCCCTAAATCAAGGCTGCTGCCTTCCCCCAATTATAAGAAGCCAGGAAGATTGCTTGGAGAGTTGTGTCCTCTATATGGAACTGGAAAATTCCTAAACGCTTCCTCTGAGGGTTGTTTTGTGCCAAGCACTAGTGAGGCCAGGGAAGGGTGTGATCAGTGAAACTGCCTATGCTGAAACAGATATACCCATTTATTTTTCCCAATGTGCTTTGCTGTGTCAATCCATCAGAAAACCTGGCACTGAGGAAGTTTACCTCTCCTAGAGAGAGCTGTCCAAGATAGCAAGGACCCTTAAAAGTGAAAGAGCCACAAATTTGTCACTTCTAGCTATCTGCTACTAAGGTAGCTGCCTCATTCCACCTAATGGTAGGGCCAGATCTTAACAGTTTGCATGAATGAATGAATGAATGAATGAATGAATGAATGAATGACCACAGATTCCAGTCCTCGAGTTTAGTATCAAGTGAAATAAGCCAAATAATATATGAAAATACACATTTTTAAATCACAACATTGCAACCATCATAAAGTGGCTGGCCATCTATCCCCAAGCCTCATCAGTTCTATAGGCAAGCTGGACTGCATCCAGTGAAGGAAGACAGATCATTCTCCCAGCCCTCTATCTCCCCCATTTCCCTCTGCAGGCAATGGTGCACCAGTCTATTCCTTCTTCCAGACAAAATCATGCACATGGTTCACCTGGGGAAAAAGTACCCATCATAACATGATAGCAGCTATCTTCCTCCACTGAGCGCACAGCTTCGTGAGGGACGCACATGGAGCGGTGAGGGAGGAAGAGGACACCCGCCTAGCCAGCCAGATCAGCCGAATCAACCCTGGTGATAAATGGGGTGACAGATGTCGCAGCCAGATCACCCTCACATCTGCTTCTCACATCGCTTCTTGGCCTTTTGGCTAAGATCAAGTGTAGTATCATGATAGCAGCATATATTTAATTTTGAATTTTGGAGAAAGTGGCAGGGTGGGAGAAGCTTATGTTCAATTTGGACAGAGATGCAAGGGCTTCCAGGATCAATGTCAAGACAAAAAGTCATGTCAACCACCTGGACTATTGCCAAATTAATCAACTGCAAGGAATTATCGATTCTAGGAAACATTGTCACAGTTACTAAGGATGTGGCTACCTTGAAGACCTAATGCAAGTTGGACAGTGTTGGTTCACAGCAGGCACTAGTTACCCAATTATGAATAAATCATGTGTATTACAATGCTACTAAGTAGAAGTCCTCTAACGCATAGTATGCTACTACAGTGTTTCTCAGAGTAACAAATAAAACAGCAGAAAAATAATATACAATATAGTGCTGCCCTCCCATTTTTACAAGTATAAATTAATGGCAGATACCGCTATTGCAATTAACATTATTTGCATTATTAATCTTAAAAAAACATATAGGGAGGGAGAAAGAACATTACTGAGGAAACGGTTCAACAGCTACTGTTCCAAATCTTAATATTCCCATCTTAATAAGACTGAGTAAACAAGACCTTCAAACTTACTTTTACACTTAATGTTGCTATGCCTGAAATAGCTGCTTTAATCCTCATATTATTTATAGTTCTTTTGAAGACTGATCACCATGTCATATATAAACTTAATCTTTTATTTTTGTTCTTATTGTTACATATGCTATAACAAAATCAATCTGCTAGCAGTGTACTTCAGCCATAAAATATGCATTGATAGTATACTTTAAAAGCATACTGTATTTATTTAGTTTATTTTCATAAGTAATATGCTTTTCATTAGCACACTATTGTTTATTTCTTAGCTGGAAAAGGTAGTATGGAGAGAAAATAATATGCAAATATGACCCAAATTACTGAATTACAGTAATATAAAAAGAATACAAGCAAAATCTGATAAAAAATAATTTGCCTACAAATTCTAAAAAATTGGTAAATGTTATACCGGGAAAATACATCTCACTCTGTCAATTTCTACTTGAATGCTATAAAAACCTCCCCCAGTGCCTTATCATAACATTTAAACAGTATTCTAAGTAATAATTACTTTTAGTAAAACAGCAATTTGTTTATAAATTATCAGTCATTATGTGTAGGCTGCATTTTGCTGTATGATTATGCTTATTATAGATTTTGACTTCATCTAATCAAAAGGAAATCAATCCCAGCAATCTGATACCTCAAAATGAAAACTTGCAAGTTTCATCATGACCCCCTAGAGACGTCTGTTTTTTATATTCTCTTCCCCTCTATACATGTCAACATTTTGCAAATAAATTGTGTACTTTTCTAATAACTGGTTGATCTCCTTTGGTTAACACTCACTTGAGAATAACATCCAGTTCCTATCATTCCAGGGAGAGAGACAAATAACAGCAACATTTTAACAGCACAACAATACATATGTCCACTTAAAAGGAAGTCCATCTGAGCCAGATGGGGCTCATTCCCAACTATATGGGTACAGGATTGCAGCCACTAGAATGTAAGAGTTTAGTTCAATCTTCCTATCACTACTAAAATTGTCAATATATTTGCTTCACATTCATATACTTAAATTGCATGAAAATGCATTTTTATGCATACATCTAAATGCATACAGTTCTCCCTATCAGGAGTATACATGTACTCATTTCAATTTTCATGCTCTAGGTTATAATAGAATACATCATGCAGAGACTTCTCAGCCCGTTCTTCCAGTGATGCAGAAACACTGCGTACCAAAATATCAAGGAAAACACAATGAGTGGAATCACAAATGTTTTTGGAATAGTTCCCTTTCCCCACCTGTAGTATAGAAGCCAATGTGCATGGAATACTTCCAGAATATTGGTAGAATACACTGAAAAAGCAAAACTGGTACAACTCTGTTCATGAAGGTATGAGACTAAGTTTGATATACTTCAGACAGTAGTCTTCAAGCAGAATCACATCTTGTCAGGAAGAGGCCTCAAAATATTGACCACGCAGAAGAGTGAATGTTTCTCCACTGAGGGAGCAACAGATCTAGTCCTCAATAAAGGTCTACTGTGAGGGTAAAGAACAAGTGGCACTCCAGATGTTAGTGGACTGTAACTCCCATGAACCAGAGGTGAGGGCTAATGGGAATTACAGATTGGTGACATTTAGAGGACCACACGTGGCCCATACCTGGTCTGTAATTTTCATTCTCCAATATAACACATTTTCTTTGTTTTTAGGATCCTGTGGAGCTAGAGGCTTTTGCAACAGATTGTGTATGTTTCTCCCCCACATAAATGCCACACTGCACCTGGTCATCCTTTACTGTTGCCCAGGACATCTGCTTGGTGGAGAACCTTGCAGCCCAGTCTCCTGAATTGCTGATCACAATGATCCCACCCAACCCCCCAACTCTGGTTTTCATGCAATCCAAGGCAGCATCCGCAGCATCTTCCGGTGATTTCCCTGAGAGAAAAAGCAGAATATATGAGAAATTTCTTAAAGTAAATGAAGGCTATCTTGTGAAAAAAAATTGCCAAAATCTTATTTATTATGCTTACTGTTGTGACACACTGGTGCAATGTTCAGCAGTGAATTATTTTAAGAAGTCAGTATAAGCCTTTCCTATCACAGACCAAGTAATGCAACTGGTGTACAACAGGAAATGTCTATGCCAGCTTCTTGACTTGTGGCAATTTGTCAATAAATGTTACACCAATGGCATTATGCCAGGAGGTATGACAAACAGGATTTTAGCCAATAAATTAAACCCATGCACATTTTCATCCCATGAAATTAGCCAATAACAGTCTTCTGTGGTGGCAAATGTTCACCAATGCAATAATCCCGTCAAAAGTGATCGCCATGTTTCAAAGAACTCAGAAACACACCCATGCATAGGAAAAGCACTACAGGGTTATTCCTCTCAAAGCAGCAGTCTCCCAGGCCCTGTGATCAATTCTTTTGAAGCTGAAGAGACATTTAAAAGCAATGCACAATCTGACAGCTGTTCATCATGGCAGAGGAAGTTAAAACGTCTACTGAGCTAGCTCAATCTTCTTCCATCTGCAACAGCCTAAGAAATCCTCTGGGTCCCAGCCAACAAACCATAACAGATTCCCTGCCCTAGCTCCAGCAGGAGTCAAAGCAACACTCCTTTCATGAACGCCACACCTGTTCATAGAATCAAAGCCAAATGGGTCTATATCCCCTCCCCACCAACAGTCCAGCATCATGCTATGTTTCAGTAGACTGAGTTAATTCCTGAGAATCATTCCTCCAGCCACTTGAATGCCTCTAAATGAAGGAGATTCCATAGCCTTTCTATAACTGAGTTTCAGTTGCCAGCCAAATGACAGACTGAATGCCACTGATGACTTTCTATTTCTGCCCTTTGAAGAAAGGAAATAAAAGGCTACTTATGTGTGCATCAGACAGGCCTCCCTGTTTTACAGTATGATGGCCACAGCCTAGAAAAGGTAGTTTTTAGATTACACGTCCCAGACTTCCCCAGGTAGCATGCCTCTTATAATACCAAAAAATAAAATACAAAAAATTTGAAGCTCTGATTCAACCCCGCCCCCCCAACACCATGTTCTATCTTGTCCAGTCATGTGCTGTCTCATGAAATGAGAGATTTACACTAGATGTAATTGTTATAAATCTGGAGGAAGCAAGCCTCCAAGGACATGAAGCGTTGTCTTCCTCAGAGTTTGGAGTTTATTGGTCACTGGTATTCACTAAAGCACTGCTGTGGGATTTTGTTGTCATTCTTCATATGTAGTGTTTTGGTAACTTGCAAACAGAGACCTTCCAAGTTGGCAGTACATGCATGTTAAAGACAGCAGTAAATAAATCAGTGGGAAATGTTTAGTTCATTTTAAAAATAAGATGATGTCCTGTAAACAAACTCAGTTTGTGTCTGTGTACAGGAAACAGCCCGAGCAATATTAACTTCCATGTCCTTGTGATCAACACATAACCTCAGGCATCACATACTGCTTTGCATAAATACTCAAATTGCACCAGGTATGATACAGTAACTCAGGCAGACATAACAACTACTGTAAGCTTGTGCCCTTCCTCTTTCTAAAACCCAAATAACCAGAATGGAAACTATCTCATGCTTAGAAACCAAAGCCCTGCCCTTTATAAACACTAACTGGAACGATATTTTCATCCGGGCAACAGCTGCCCTAATAGCACTTAGACATTCCAACAACTACGAACAGGAGTTTGTACTCTTCACTTAAGCACCTGCTCTTCACTTGTGGCACACGGTAGTCCCAACTGTGTGGCCTGATTTGGAAAGGCCAGCTAACTTACATTCATGCAGGGGTGGGCAATTAATTTCTAAGGGGGGCACATGAAAAATCTGAACTACATTCAGGGGCCGAACCAACATTACTTAAAAATAAAATGAAACAGTGATGTTATGATTGATGTTATTTTAAACTTGTTAATCTTCACAAATACTAAAGAGGTTTTTTTGCGGTATGTTAAAGATAAGCAATTGATCAACTTTAGACAAAAAGCTATAAATGATTTTGATGTTCAAAACTGTCCGCGGGCTGGACAGGAGCCGCTCGCAGGCCGTATGTGGCCCTCGGGCCGCACTTTGCCCAGGTCTGCTTCAGCGCGTAATAATCACAAAAACACACTGAATGTACCGTACATAACTACAAAAAAAGAGAGACTCTTCGCGTAATAATCAGAAAAAACACACTGAATGTACATAACTACAAAAAAAGAGAGACTCTTGACGCAGAGCATCACTTTCCTTAAAAGTCTTAAATGTTATTCACTCAGAGGTATCACACAGTTCTTTCATGGCAGACCTCATATGAAGGAAGTGTTCCAAATTAATCTTCACTCAGCATTAAATTAAAGAGACAAGTACTATATTTTTCCGTGTATAAAATGACACCTTCACTCAACATTAAATTAAAGAGACAAGTACTGTATTTTTATGTGTATAAAATGACACCTTTTCCTTAAATAATTTGAGAAAAAATTGAAGGTCATTTTATACACAGAAGACAGCTCTACCACTGCCTTTTGCGAAGGCACAGGGCTTAGCAAAAAGGAAGGGGAGGCGTTGCTCCCTTCCTTTTTGCTAAGCTCCGTGCCTTCTCAACATTAAATTAAAGAGACAAGTACTGTATTTTTATGTGTATAAAATGACACCTTTTCCTTAAATAATTTGAGAAAAAATTGAAGGTCATTTTATACACAGAAGACAGCTCTACCACTGCCTTTTGCGAAGGCACAGGGCTTAGCAAAAAGGAAGGGGAGGCGTTGCTCCCTTCCTTTTTGCTAAGCTCCGTGCCTTCTCAAAAGGCAAGGAAAAGCAGCAGCCACTTTGACAGTCGGTTGCCTTGCCTTTTGCCAAGGCATGGGGCTTAGCAAAAAGGGAGCCCTTTTATCCCTGCTTTTTCAAATTTGGGGTTAGAAAAGGGGGGGGGTTCGTCTTATACATTGAGTTGTCTTATAAATAGAAAAGGGGGGGGGGTTCCGTCTTATACATTGAGTTGTCTTATAAATTGAAAAATACGGTAATTTATTAAGGATGCTAAAATGAGGTGGAATGTCCGAATGTTTCGTTGTTTGCACAGGAAAAGCTACACAGATAATCTGCCTAGAATGTCTTCTCACTGACATTCATGATTCTCCCCCTACTTTCCGTCTCCTGCATATATGAATTTTAAGTTCCTCGTAATTTAGCGTCCATTAATATAAAGGGTTAAGACTCTGATCCAAAGTCTATGGTTACACTTGAGTTGGTAACCGTATTCAGGAAAAGTGGGTCAGCTGATTATGTTTACAGGCTGTAATATAAATCAAGAGTTTGGGTAACACTGAAGGCAGAGCTCTCTAGAGTTATCTGTAGCCTGATTGTGTTACAGTCACATGAACATCTTGTTGCCAGCAGGTTTACCACAGTCACACTTCTACTCAATATGCAGATCAGCACATTAATACAACTTCCCTTTTAATCAAACAGGTGGTTTTTTAAAAAAAAATTATGAGACTCATCACTGATGAGTCATTAGTAATGACTTGGATGCTTCACCAGTTTCGTAGGCTACTCCTGTTAAGTGTGAAAGTGCAAAAATACCTGTAGTGGGATTTCTGTACTTCTGCTTCCATAAATAAATAACATTTCTGTTCTACATTTAAACATACATCAATAGGAGGTTGTGCTAGTACCGCAGGAGTGGGGATAATCCAGGGTTTGCTTAATCCAACTGGTGAACAAGCTCTGAAGGTCTTTTTATTACTCTAAGACCCTCCAATCATCATTAAGTAAAACCACAAACACATCTGATTTTTTTTGTACGTTTGTTTTGCTGTAACATGGTAGGTAGACAACTTCTTTTGGAGGACAATTGCTCCCGAGACACATAATTTATTTTTTATTTTGAACAACAGGAAGAACAATTCAAGCTGGAAAAAGGCTTCTTTTTCGCTGGGGATGGATCTGAAGGCTGCAAAAGCAATTGTGGAGTGGGGGGAATGGTTCCCACTTCTGGTAACTATCTGGCGATAAGGTTGTTTGTGCTTTTTCACCTCTGCTAAAAGCTCTAGTTTCCCATGCCTTTTATCAACTTGACACATTTATAGTTCATTTTTCAAATCAGGGGGTGCTGCAGGTGATATACAACATTCTAATAAAAACAACAATAAAAACAGAACAAAATTAATACATCTTAAGAATAAAATAAAAACAGAAGCAAGGATATTCATTATAACAGAATCAGAAAAGAACATTAGAAACCACCCAAAGCTGGAAGGAATAATGAAGTCTCATTACCTGTCTAAGGCATAGTAATAGGGAAGATAATAAGACCTTACTAAGGATCAGGTTCTGCAATTAAGGTTCAACTAGAGAGCCTGTATGATAAAGTGGTTAGAATAGTGGATTGGGAATGAGATTTGGGAGATTCAGGTTCAAGTCCCCACTAGCCTAGAAAAGTCTGTGAGTGACTGTGAGCCTTTCACTCATTTTGGCAAGTTCTGAGAATGCTTGGCACACGCACAGCAAACACCATGTGTGTAAATCACAGAGAGCATGAAGAAGAATTGGAAACATTTTTGTTGACCCTGACGTCCCTCAGGAGCAGAATGACTACATGTGCTATCACAGTGAGACTGAACTAATAATCCAATGCTGCATTTGCTCCATGTTCAATAGTTCTATCTACAGATATAGTATAGGTCCATGTGCCCCCTGTACCGAAGTAACAAACCACAACCTATGCCTGTCAGCAAGCTGTCAGAAAAGCAGTTATATATTCTGTAGTAAAAATATAGCAAAAATAGTCTATAGTAACTCCAGTTTTAATAGTTCTGTGCTCTATAGTTCTATAACTATAATAGCTATATACTCCTACAGTAGTTCTACAGCAGTCATACTAGTCTACCACAGTAGCGCTGTCTTTCTACAGTTATTCTACAGTACCTATCACATGGTATTTCTAAGCTCTTTGTAACTTAAAAACCAGAGGTCCGCAGTCTTTACCTTGTTCCATGTGATAGAGGACAAGTCTTGCTAAAACTACTTTCATAATGCTCTCCCCATGGCCTGTGGTAGAGACGGCACCCACATTGTTATCCGCATAGCCACCACACCCTGATCAGAGAACAGAAGGTGAAAAAGGTAAGATATGGCATCTCATATCTACTATGGGATATACTAAAATATGCAAGGCAATCACAAAAGCAACCAGTCTGTCTTTACCTTCTATGAATATGAAGAGCTCAACCAGAACATACTTCACACCCACGTCAATGGAAGTTAGAAAGCACAGGAAAGAAGGGTGCGGGGACAAAATGTCAAGCACACTGCTTTCCTCTGGTAATTTTTCAACCCTCACTGAGGGTTCCTGGGAATATGTTCAGAATATATTAAGGCAACACAGATAGTTTAGTCTGCGAAAGTTTGCACAGAATCTATTGCTCATATACACTGAACTCTGACTCAAAATCTGTTCAGAGGAGAATCTCAATGACCAACCATTGTACACTTGGCAGTCCTGTTTTAGGAGCATTAACTATCTAAACCAGTTGTTCCCAACCTTGGGTCTCCAGATGTTATTGGACTACAACTCCCAGAAATTTTGGCCAACCCAGCTAGTGGTGAAGGCTTCTGGGAGTTTTTGTCTAAGAACACCTGGGGACCCAAAATTGGGAATCAATGCTCTAAAAAGTAACCCAGTTTTAAAAAAATATTTAGACACAACGTACTGTTCCATGGTTCCTCCATATTCTTGATTCACAATTTCCCCTTTTTGCCTCCTGTCCGTCATCCAGAAGTCCATATGCAATAAAATAGTTTTTACTGGTTGGAAATGTTGCAAAAAAATTCTTTTTCTGTCTCTCTCCCCATCTCTTTCATATATAAACAATTTATCTGCAAAATCCAGAAGTAGATGACAGATTTGCTAATATGCTCTGTCCTTCAGTCAGCATGGCAAGATAACAGCACGACCTCTGAATCTGGATGTAATATTTGCTAGTGGCTTGAAAGTCATTAGAGTTCAAGACAAAAGCAGTACTTTTCCTCTTTGAAGATGCATGAATTTCTAGATAGCTTTCTATCTGGAATTTCAACTGGAAACACAGAATGAGGAATCTCTTCTAATCAGTGCAATTTGTAATTCATTACTTTTAAAACACTGTATATGTGTGTCTTATTTCACAAGATCTCCACTTGCTACTTCCCTTTCACTCAAGAACAACTCCGTAACAGCAGCATCTTTTATACATTTCTTACAAGTGACATTTAAATGTATTTCAAAATATTCCTGATTTCTTCTTGTTAGCCATCTTACCTTGAAATACATGGCACAGTGTGGGAAATTTATGAAGTCATCACTCCAGGAAAACACAACTTTAAACAAAAACAGACTTTTTAAAAAAGAACAGAACAGAGACCCATTCCCTCCTACCTATGCAGGCTGTATCACCAACACGCCCAACCCGTTTGTTTGTAAGTCCCCCCGTTGACGTTGCACAAGCTACATTTCCTGCATGGTCGACAGCAACAGCTCCAACTGTTCCAAGGTCTCTGTCAAAAATAACATTTCAAACAATTTAGCTGAAGACTGGAGTGCATCTGCCAAAAGAACATGGCGTCTCTTCTCACAGGTAGTGCTTCCCCAGAACGAAAAGGCAACAGACCTTTCCACACTGAAGCCACTTCAACACAGCTTCACTTCATGAGACAACTCATGTGAATTAAAGAACTACATCAAGATTAATCTGATACTGATCTGAAGACCTAGGGTAAGACAGTGACAATTAAATAAAACAAATGGTATTACTCAGGAATGGTTCATAATCCAAGTGGGAAAGGGAGGAGGGCTTCACTCCCCCAATTCATGTACAGACTTATTTTTGCTGTAACTATTTTGACACAAATGTCCATTCCTTGTTACACACCAGTTGTTCCTTCACTCTCTTGCAATCATGTGTGATAGCTGCAAGGTACCCTATGAAAACTGTATGCTTTGCCCCCTTGTGGCAAATAACAGCTACATGGAGAACTGGAAGAACTTCAAGCAGGAAAACAATGTCAATATTTTGAATTTTTTTATGTATAAGGTGTTAAAATAGTCTGGGGGTGCAGAAAAAGCTTTCCTGAAAATGAGGATAAATTTAAAAGTGTGGTTTAGAAATAGTTTACTATAGTCATTGCAAAGCATTTGTGGGTGTATCAAAATAGTTTGCTAGCTTTACAACAGCATAAAGTCACTGAATAATAAGAATTCCTGGCAGCTGAATATTTTGGTTATGACATGTAAATATAGATATGATGCATGCATGTTTGATATTTTTACATTCTCAAGTTACAATATTCAAGTCTTCTAAGAATGTAGGATTTTCAAATGTTGATGCTACAGGACTGTTCATATAAATTCTGCAAAAATTGTTAGTAAAAACAAAAATCGTCAGCATAAAGCTGGTCACTAGATTGTAGATTACAGCTCGTTATATATGCAACAACATACAATTTCCTCTTGAAAAATTATTCCTGCATTTTTTATCATTATAAACGCAGGTAAGATTTATTTATCGTTAGGAATGACAGATGCCAGGAGAATGCCATTAGAGGGGAGAAAACTCTGTTGTGGGTATAAGACTTTTTCATTATGTTGTTGTGATTTTATAATTGTTTATTGTAATTTGGGAGACTTTTGGACTCTGCCAGTGGCTCCTTTTTATTTTCAATTTTTCCTTCTGTCTTGACATTGTTTATGCTCTAATATAGTATTTGACATATATATGTTTGTTAAGATATTTCTCGTAGAGTTAAACTGAGAGTTAAACATTTATACCTTCAGAGAACATGCCTTTGTAATACCTTTATTGTTAAGTATTTTATTTACACGTTTATTACAGTATTTCATTTTGAAGCACTATACTAATTTTAGTTGGAGAATTTTTGTTAGAATAGCTGCCTACATTTTTATTTAGTTCATTAAGTTTTTATATTCTTATTTCTCTAACTTTGTGCTAGGCCTTTATAGTTAATTTTTTTGCTATACAACCATATACTCATATCTGTTTGCATTATGCCTATTCAATAAAAGGACAAAAAGTAGTGCCTTTTTGGACATTCAGTTTATGTCTTGCATGGGGCAAAATAAATTAAAGGCTATTTAAGAAAATGGAGGTTTATTCCTCTGGGTCACATTGGATTTAAGCCCTTTTGAAATATATGCCACCTGTGAAGAACACAGGCTTCTGATCCCCCCCCCCCCCGAAGGTCTATAAAATTCTAGGGGACTCTTAGGGATATTCAGGCTTCAGGTTATCTGGTCTGACAATAACACAAAGAGAAAGGGTTAAACTGCCCTCCCCCTACGGCATGACTCTGATCTGAGAAATTTAAAACACATATGTTGTTATAGTTACTTTGATGGGGATAATGATTATGATGATGATTCTGAAAATGTACGACATCCTGGTCATAGAGTTCCTGCACCATAAATCTCTTACTAGTTTGGCCCATGATTTCTGAAGGGATAGGGAACAGAGTGTCTCTTGGACAGAGAAAAGAGGTACTCAAGGTTCTGGAGAAAAGCAACAACTTAAAGCCTGAGGCAGGAAGGGATTGATACTATGGGTGAGAAAGGAAAATGACAAGGCAACCATATACATGTTTACTCAGACATGAGGTTTATTGAGATCCAAGAGACTTTTAGGTCAGTGTAAAGCCTGGAAACATTACATTTTTGGACTACACCTCCCAGAACCTCCCAGCCAGCATGGGCACTGACCATTCTAATGGGAAGTGTGTAGCTCAAAGGAATCTGGGTTAGGAAAACAAAGTCAGAGACAGAATTGCAGTAAGTCAGTAAGAACGCTGACTTTTCCAAGTTGTAGATCATTCATTAAAATCAAAACCGACATCTGACATTGGTAGGAACTAAGCAATGCTGCTAGACATCTTCTAAGGACATGAGAACAGCCTTGCTTGATCAGTCCAAAGGTCCATCTTACTGCTAAGAAGCTTACACAGAAGACATGAAGGCATTAGCCTTTTGCTCTTCAGCAGCTGGTACTTGGAAGTTGTATGCTTTTGAATCTTGATACCATGTTTCCCTGAAAATAAGACAGGGTCTTGTATTCATTTTTGCTCCAAAAAACGCAGTAGGGCTTATTTTCAGGGGATGTTTTATTTTATTTTATTTTCATGTACAACAATCTGCATCTATTCAAACAGAGTCATCTCATCTTCTTCTGGTTGCTGTACGATGGTGGAGGGCAGGGTTTCACTTAAGTGGGGCTTATTTTTGGGGTAGGGCTTATATTATGAGCATCCTGAAAAATCATACTAGGGCTTATTTTCAGGTTAGGTCTTATTTTCAGGGAAACAAGGTACCTCAGGACATAATTTAACTAGGATTTTAGCTATACATCCATTCCTCTTTTTATGTTTTAATCTGAATCATTCAACCAAGGCAAGACTTTGTCAAAATATCAATATATATATATATATACTTGCTTTTGAAACTCCTGTGGGTTGGAATCAGCCTCAAGGTTTTTCTTCCATCTCTCCAGTGATCTTTCTGTGATTAGTTTCTCTCCAGGAACCTCAGAAACTCCCATGGCCTTGGCAAAGGCCAAGGCTCCCTGGTCAGTCAGCAACATGTGGTCTGTCTGAGGAAGATACAAGCAGCAACTTAAAATTGTTGCACAAAGCAACTTCTACCCTCACCTCATACCTTTAGAGATTATACAATATCCAAAACAATTCTGATGTTCTATAAGCTATGATAGGATACCTATCTGCCACCTTCCATCAAAGAACAACAAACTCCACAACCATAAAAGACCTCACAAGTAGCAGAGGCCAGAATTTAATGCCTTGAGAGATACTATCTATGATATGCCAAACTGATTTTGGCTATCTTAGTCAATTCTAATGACAACAAACTGGACAGCATAAAATACAATAAAATTACAGGCACAAAACAGGCAAAGTGTGTTTCTGGAAATGTTTCTGTTTGTTATATACTTGGTGAGCTGTGCTCCCCTCTGGTGCCATCTGTGTCCATTTCCAGGGAATGTGCAAGAAGTCAAGGGGTTTCACATGGATATGAACCAAAATCATTAGGCATGTGGGAGTACTTCCTTTTATTGGTTAGGCTTCTGTTGTAAAAGAAAAAACACCACTGCTGCTTTTCATGTTGATCAAGGATGGTGCACCGTTTTGGCCGTATCTCATCTGCTGCTGCAATGTATACTTTCCTTCCTGGCTTTCTGAGACCGCAGTCTACAAAATCGATTCTACGTGCTACTGCCTGTGGAAATGGTCAGGAAACCTCAGTGGGTTCAAAACACAGAAGCGAGATTGCTAACTGGGACTGGTCATAGGGATCACATAACCTCCCTGTTACAGTAGCACCACTGACTGCTGAGCTGGTTCTAGACAAAAGTTACAGTGATGGTTCTAACCTATAAAGCCCTAAATAGCTTGGATCCAAGCTTTCCCAAGGACCACATTTCCTTTTATGAGCCTTCTTAAGTGTTAAGATCATCAGGAGAGGCTTTCTTCTGGTCCCGCTACCTTCAGAGGTGTGTTTGGTGGGGACATGGGAGAAGGCCTTCTCTGTTGCTGCTCCCAAACTTTAGCACTCTCTCCCACAGGATGCTGGACTGGCCCATCTTTACTATCTTTCCACAAGCAATCAAAAACCTTTAGGCAAGCTTTCCCTGAATGAATGGCTGCCAAGTAGAGTTTTTAAGTTTTTAAGATGGGTGCAATGGATTATTGCATTGAATGTATTTTGGTGTTATTTTTTATATTGTGTTCATTGATTCTTTTAGTATTGTATATTCATTGTGATTGACATAAATGCTGTCTTTTATTTATTTATTTATTTATTTATTTGTTTGTTTGTTTGTTTGTTTATTAGATTTTTTAATCTACTAACTGCTAACTATGCAGATTATGTTTGGTATGTTCAGTTGATACATTATGGCCCCCATTTAGAGATTCAGAGAAAGGTGATCATAAGCCACCTTGGGTCCTTTTAAGGAAAGGTGGGTTAAAATAAATAACCCACCTTCCCTAAAAATAAATAAAATATTTATTTATTTTAACCCACCTTTCCTTAAAAGGACCCAAGGTGGCTTATGATCACCTTTCTCTGAATCTCTAAATGGGGGCCATAATGTATCAACTGAACATACCAAACATAATCTGCATAGTTAGCAGTTAGTAGATTAAAAGATAGCATTTATAGAGTAGACATGGTCTAGAGGGGCAGGGTAAAAATCTAATAAATAAGCAAACAAACAAACAAATAAAATAAACCTCATGTCAACAGCAAATGCAGATTGGCCACTATCGCATACAGAGTCATAGAATCATGGAACTGGAAAGGACCTATAATGCCACTGAGTCCAGCACTTAACTCAGTGCAGGAATCCAAATCAAAGATGGTGGTCTAGCTTTCTCTTAAAAGCCTAGTGATCAGCTGCTTCATGTCAAACAAGCAACAGTATCCTCTTATTTCTAAAACAATAGAAACTGGGAGGCATTTCATCCCTTGTAGTTTGAGCAAAGAAGGCCTACTGAGTTCCCAACAGAGGACAATAAATATGATCAGGTGGCACCTTCCTGTGTTTGAAGTGTGTATTACTCTTTGCAAAGCAGGAAGACAGTTCACTCTTGCAAATCTGGAATGTTCCACTCCTCTAACTCCTCCCCCCCAAAAAGTGCCTTGTGCAACACTGCCCTATCCTGCCTTTGGGGGGGGGGGAGAGCACCAACATTTATGATAATTTGCTTGTTTTCTCAAAATAACTTCCCCTAAGTGCAGTGTCACCTATTTCCAGATTAACTGTACTGTACATACGTTTGCAGCCACAAAAAGAGAGTAAACAATTAAATAATTTTCAGAGAGGTAGCTGTGCTAGTCTGTTTCAGCAAACTAAGAAGTATATTGTAATCTACAGCAGTTACACTGACATCAATCTGGGAGTTTTAAAGGTGCCATGGTATGTTTGTTCTTCCTTTCCATTTGATTTTGTTTGTGCTTTTGTTTTATTACTTCTCTATACTATAATCCCTTTGATTATAGATGCAATACACAAAAATGACTCCCAATTTCCATTTCATACTAGACTTATCACAATTTGTCTTCCCTTAGACAAATCACTCGAGATTGTATGATTTAGTCCTGCATCATTTATACATAGGTAAAATTGCACAGCTTTTATTATCTCCCACCCCCACCCAGTTATTACCGTTCCCAAATAACTGCATGCACATAAACACAGAACTTAGTCCCAAAGGACTAAATTCAATTGTTAGTCCAGACTAGAGAAGAGGCATCCAACCGGATATGCATAAGCACTGACTTAACAAGTTCCATTCATCCAGTGGGCCTATAATACTAGGGCCGAACAACTGGATTTGGCTCAAATGGTCACACAATTGGTCACAAAATGGGAAGCCTGACAGAGCAGAGGGATAGTCACACAATTGTCCTTTCATTCCATATTTAGGCAACAGCATACTGGCCATATCCTTCACACAGAGAAGCCAAGAAGCAACTTCCTACCCATGATTCCATCACTGATAAGCAATGCTAGTAACAGATACAAAAGAACGATATATTTCTTTCTTTATTGTAAGATTTACATCTCATTTTCTTGCAAACACCTCAAGGTACCACTGATTTTTTTAAAAAACCTGCCTGCCAAACATATATCAGAAACAATAAATTAATGCTAACTGCAGATTCTGTTTAGCATGTTCAGCTGATACATTATGACCCCCATTCAGAGAAAAGTGATCGTGCTTAGGTGGCAATGAAATGAAAGAGATCCATGTTAACCTTAAAACATTAACTTGTCCTGTCAGTCCTGGTGGATTGTACCTCTAGTAGCAGCTCACTATTTGGATAGTCCTTAGCATTACTATGATAAGCACTTTAAAAAAAGTTATTTACCAAGTGACTGGGTCTTACAATTTAAAAGACATAACACAGAAAGAGAGGAAGAACAAAACTTATAATGGGAAAAAAAAGCTGAGATAACGAACAGCTGAAATAGAAACATTTCCGGGCAAGGAAGAATAAGATTCAGTTGATGGAACAGCGATTACCACTCTGAGCCTCAGAAATGATGGAGTGAGAGCCTAGTTTTTCACCTTGTCACTAAAGATCATAATATATCGGACCTGCTTCCCACATTGGGCACTCATCCATAGGAACCCTACTAGGGTGCAACTGGTTCCTTACGTTTCCAACTAAAAGAAGCAAATCATTGGCTGCTCTTCCAGATACTTGGTGCATGTAGTAAGCAAACACATACTATTCCAGTCTTCACTTTGCACATTGGGGCTTCCTCACAGGTAAAGTTGCACAGCACTGCAGCCAAAACAGGGTCTTTGATATGAAAGTTCCTATCATGATAACCAGTTTGTCACTGCAAGATGCCAGCGTACATTCTGCTGCCAGTAGTAAACCCAGTAGTAAACCCAGCTACGTTTTTTTAAATTTATTTTCAGATACTTATTTCTTCTCCCAATGGAAATAATGAAAGCCTACCACAACCCTTCAGATTTTGGGAGATTTCCAGGAACAATCATTTCACAGCTCGGTTCTTCTGAGGAATTATTACCCCACGAGCGGAAACAGCCTGGCCTGCTTAATGAAATGTATCTCAATGGACTGTTTTAATAGGCTAGATTCTCGGGTGTTGCAGGAAAAATCTATTGTGGCCACCAGATGGAGCCAATATTGTGTCAGGAACCAGTAATGAGGTGTCTTGATCATTAGAAACATACTTCGGCTCCTTATTTTGAATGAAACTTTCAGAGATCAAAGAGAATTTCAAGCTAAGATTTAAACAATGGGGTGCTATTTATTTTTCTTTAAAAATACCACTTACGACTTCCATAAATCACAAAACCTAAGATACCTCTGTTAATTTCAAACAGGGGTGATCGTTGTGTGGTTGTTTTTTTAACCTCTTTAAGGCCCCCAAGTTTAAAATTATAATAACACCCCACTTTTTTCCTGCCCCTGGATTCTGGGAAGAGTCATGGCTTTCTGGCTGGAAACCTGCATAAAAACATTCCACACTGCAAAAAAGTGTTTGCAGGTACCATTTGGAAATCTCGTTCATGCTACTCCTGGCTGGATAGCTCAGTGAGTTAGGTATCTGGCTGGGCTGTGGAGCCAGAGATTGGGAATTCAAATCGCCCGCCCAGAAAAACCAGCCTGTGTAGCCTTGGGCAAGAAGAAGGGAATGGCAAACCACTTCTGAGTTCTTTCTACCTAGGAAACCCTGAAAAGGGTCATCATAAGTCATAACAGACTTAATGGCACTCAATTTTTTTTAAATTATTATTATTATTATTATTATTATTATTATTATTATTATTATTATTATTATTATTATTATTATTATCATCATCATCATCATCATCATCATCATCATCATCGTCGTCGTCGTCGTCGTCGTCGTCGTCATCGTCGTCATCATCACCGTCATCATCATCACCGTCGTCGTCATCATCACACCAAAATTTTAAAATATACTTAGGGGATGTAACCTATAAACCAGGTGGGCTTGAGAGGCAAAGTGTTATCCCCACTCCCCACAATGGACTGCACCAGACCTAGAAACACCCATTTTCAACA